TGCCCTAGATTATCCAGTGTGTGCTTCAATTCTGTTAAAATGCTATTATCTGTTACCCCATTATATCATACTGAAAATATCCTGGAATCAATCCAGAACTGACAGGAGAATAAAGATTGCAGGACTTTTAAATTTTTAACAAGTATTATTACACTATAAGTTCCTCTCCTGCTAAATTCAGAATTTTAAATCTGCAATTCAATAACATTCAGTAAACAGAAGATTTCCTTGCCTTTATATATATATATATATATATATATATATATATATTTTTTAATGATTTCCCAATCCCCTGCATTTATGGCTGGAGTTAGCCCTGTGGTGATTTTTGAGTATCCTAGCTAATATGCTTCAGGAGGTAACTTTGCAGACACATCTCTAATCTCCCATTGCAGTATTAAAATAAGCTTCTAGTTTGAAACAGGACAGACCCATCTCTCAAAGCACAAAAAAAGACTCAAAATTCTCAAACTAGAACAGGCATTCAAAGAACCCTGGGCCAAGAAACATACTTTGAGAACATTCACCTAAATACAGGCTGGGAACTGTGGCTTAAATATGGAGCACTGATCTGCTGGATAGAGTTATTTTTCACTTAAAAAAATATCTTCTTAAAATTGGGAGTATTTAAGGTATGTCTCTATAAGCAGAAGCCTCAATATTGTTGCATAGGAGATACCTAAACAAATCTTGATCCTGGAACATAATGTGTGATTATTCCTTGGGAAATATAACTGGGATTCGAGGGGCTTAAAGAGAAAGGTGATACTGTGGTATCAGCTATGAGGCAATGTACAGAGTGCCCCTGTCACTTAACCTGTGGTGTGAGTCCATAAGGACAAAAAAATTATTCATTTAACTCCTCCCTGGATTGTGGCAATTCAAGGGGAAAAATAAAATAATGGTTCTGCCACCCCTGCCTTTTTGGAGTGTAACTTGAAGCATCTCCTGACAACCTGCAGGCATCTATTGCAGTTTCTTGCAAAGGTCTGGGATGTTTTGGGGTGCGGCTCCAAACAAATGATAAATTCAGTTTACTGTTTCTGGTATTTAACAAAATAGATGGAGAAAGAAGCTTTGACCACTTCTTGGTCTGTCTCATTGCTCCAGAGATTTAATCAAAGGTTTCTACTTATTTACTTGCCGAAATCTGGAGTTAGCCCTGTGGTGATTTTTGAGTATCCTAGCTAATATGCTTCAGGAGGTAACTTTGCAGACACATCTCTAATCTCCCATTGCAGTATTAAAATAAGCTTCTAGTTTGAAACAGGACAGACCCATCTCTCAAAGCACAAAAAAAGACTCAAAATTCTCAAACTAGAACAGGCATTCAAAGAACCCTGGGCCAAGAAACATACTTTGAGAACATTCACCTAAATACAGGCTGGGAACTGTGGCTTAAATATGGAGCACTGATCTGCTGGATAGAGTTATTTTTCACTTAAAAAAATATCTTCTTAAAATTGGGAGTATTTAAGGTATGTCTCTATAAGCAGAAGCCTCAATATTGTTGCATAGGAGATACCTAAACAAATCTTGATCCTGGAACATAATGTGTGATTATTCCTTGGGAAATATAACTGGGATTCGAGGGGCTTAAAGAGAAAGGTGATACTGTGGTATCAGCTATGAGGCAATGTACAGAGTGCCCCTGTCACTTAACCTGTGGTGTGAGTCCATAAGGACAAAAAAATTATTCATTTAACTCCTCCCTGGATTGTGGCAATTCAAGGGGAAAAATAAAATAATGGTTCTGCCACCCCTGCCTTTTTGGAGTGTAACTTGAAGCATCTCCTGACAACCTGCAGGCATCTATTGCAGTTTCTTGCAAAGGTCTGGGATGTTTTGGGGTGCGGCTCCAAACAAATGATAAATTCAGTTTACTGTTTCTGGTATTTAACAAAATAGATGGAGAAAGAAGCTTTGACCACTTCTTGGTCTGTCTCATTGCTCCAGAGATTTAATCAAAGGTTTCTACTTATTTACTTGCCGAAATCCAACCTGTCCTGACTGCCCAATTCACCCTTCTAAATTCATTTCCATGGTAAAAGTCAGCTTCTTGCTCCTCCTGGAAAACAGCTTGGGATCTTGCCGACAAATAACCGTGGGACTGCAATCCCTGGAAATACTGCCTTGGGTCACAGCCACCAGCCTTTTGTTTTTGTGGTGCGTGTGGTTTCTAATCCCCGACACACAAAACAACTTTAGATCGGAGAGAAAAAGAATGGACTTCTAAATAGCCTTCTCTATTTTATTGTTCACATTTTGTATTGTTTTGAGTGAAATTGGAAAAATTGTCTCCTTTCTCTGTATTGCCAAAAGGCATTCAGGTAATGAAGTCTGTAACTAAACGGTAATTGAATCAGCATAATTTTCACACTGAATGGTTTTCAAATGCTCCCAGTTTACAATTAAAGGAGAATTAATGCACTTGTTGTTGAGAACGCAGCGCGTTAGAATAAATCCAGCACTGTTGGTGTAATGAGTGGAAAACGGTTTAACTGCCAACAAACACATTTAAAATTTAACACAACGTATTGATTTCACTTCTACTTTTGACAGATTATTTTCCAGACTATCGAAATATTTGTTCCAAGCAATAACTGCACCACAGCCGCGAGCTTCTGCCATGTGTGAGCACAGTTCAAGGACGTTACGAACAGTCCTGAGGTTCAGGTCCTGCGTAAAGGTATGCAGAGGAGAGAGGCAGGAGGGTTTCCATGGTCAAAGGAATCTTTAATATTCTCCCTCTGTAGCTTTCACTTTGGGTCCCTCCCCCTTCTTTCAACAAACAATTTCTGTGTTTCCTCTGGCCAAACTTTCTGCCCTGCTTCTCTAAGCTCTCAATGTCAGTGGGTTTACTGGACACAGGTGGGCAAGAATGATTGAAGATGAGAAATGGGAAGGACACTTTTTGCAGTGCCTCTGCGTTCTAGCCGGGGAAGGCACAGACTTAGGTAAAGGAGTCAGAAAGGCAGTTCTTTTGGATTGGCTGCCCGGGCTTTCACCTGTTTACCCCAAGGTGTCCTGTAGGCGAGGACACTGACGTGCAGCGCCCTCTGGCGTCCGCGGCTGCCATGGTCAGGCGATAAAGGTGCAAACACAGGCAACACTGAGGGTTCTTGGATTCCAGCTGAAACCCGTTTACACACATACCCTTACATTCATATTCACACACACGTATACATACACATTCATTAGCATATACAGAGTTCACACAACTAGCCGCCCTGCAGTCACAGACACCAGGGCAACAGCTGGGAAACGCTCTCAACTGCAGGTATGGCAACACTTTTGCTCCAAGGATAGTGGCTTCTGAAGCCCTTGGGGTTGAGACGGCACCGCTCACTCCATTCCCGTTTATTCAACCCATCATGCCGCCCCAGAGCTTCTTGTTCCTACTCGGAACACACAGAGCCCTCAGTGCGCTCCTGCAGCCCAGAGGTAGGTTATGGGGTTCTGTGCACTGAGCACAACTTCACCAGCAGGATAAGACTGTCCCTGGCCCTCCCTGAAGTCAGACCCGAGAAATTGCGCTCTCGGTCTTGGCTCCGCGCCGTGTCCATAGCTACCAATCCACCACCACCACAACAATAAAGTGCTTCCCTCAAAGGCCCCCACCCCGCCCACGCAAACCCCAGTTCAAACAGTGGGCAAAGTCCGGACCTCAGAAAACTCGGCTCTGGGAGGACTTGGATGGTAGCTTTGCTTAGTATTTTCTCCCTAGCGACAAGGTCTGCCACTCCCTAATAAGGGGCTCAGCACTGGAACTGGGGTTTGGTTATCTGGTGGGAAGGAGAGATTGGGAGGAGAGGGAAGGGGAGCCTCTACATGTTTGCTGGAGCATCTCTGACCCAACTCCATCTGGACGCTTGTGAGGCTCCTAGATAGTTAAACTTGTCCTGTCTGAACCCTACAAGTCGAACAAAGTTACCTGCACTTCTTTATGTGCTGCATCTCCAAACTGGGGGTGAGGTGGGTGGATTTACTTTCAAAGTCGGGGACCTGTGCAGATTCATTGCTTTCCATTCTCCACCTCCATTTCCTTTCGTTTAAACTCTGGATGAACTAGTAAGAGTTCCCTGTCTTCCACCCCTTCTCTTTGCCTTCTCTCCCTATAAAGCATCCCGTCCAGCTATCTCCTCGATTTCTGGGTGTCTAGGGCGCCCTGGACGCGGTTTAGAATCAATCGCAGGAGAGGAGGGGGTACTGGAGCAGGAAACGAGGGTGGGAACCCCGGAAAATCCCACAGGGATGGGGACATCAGTTTGCCAAAGTTGTTCCAACACCGTCAATAGGAACGTCGCTCTCGCTGAACTGGCGGTCTCACCCTCCTCCCGCGCGCCCCCAGTTGCCTGGCCTTGCGACCAGGGTGTGATTGCGGGGGCGCGGGACTGGCAGCGACTTACCAAGTAGACGGTGGGCTGCAAGAGGAGAAGCACGTACCAGCACGTAGCCTGCATCCTCCCGCGTCTCAAACTTCCTCGGCGGTGCGTTCGCTGAGTCTTTGTTCCTTCAAAAACATAGATCCACCTGACATCCACTTTATAGAGCAAAGAGCGCTCTCAGCAGCCTAGATACAAATGAAATTAGACATCCCATGACCACGCGGGCAAGGTTAGGCTTGGCAACCAAGCGCGGAAAGGGGGTCGTGGCGGGAGGGATGGACCAAAAAAAAAAAAAACCCGGAGGTGGGGGAGGCAGGAAAAACTGAAAAGCGAGCAAATCCAGCGCCTGAAACCCGCGAGCGCGCGGTCCGCAGGCAGGCGGGCAGGAGGGTTGGAGGATGAGGGGCTCCTTGCGCCCTGTGCTGCTCGGGTGCGAGTTCCCGGGAGGTGGAGCCAGGAGGTGGCGGGGCACACAGAGCCGCGTGCAGGCTGGTTCCGAGACCAAGCGTCTCTGGCAGCGAGACCTGCCCTAGTGTTTGATGGCCGGGAGGCTCGGACTAAAGGCGGTGGCTGGTTCTTCGCCAGCCCTGGCAGTGCTCACACACGTACACACCAGCAGAGAGAGGTGGAGAGAGAAAGAGAGGGAGAGCGAGCGAGAGATATTGAGCGAGGGGGGCGAGGGAAGAGGAAGGGGTAGGTAGAGCTGACCAGGATTAGGTACCGGGTACCTCCACGCGTTTGGTGCGATGGGGGTGGGGAAAGTGAATGCAATTTGCATATAGGAAAGCCGGCTTCAATTTACCCATTCGAGCGCCCTGCACACACAGAGATACCACGCGCATACACATGTACTACTTTTTTTCGAGCGAAGGGGCACAGCCAGTCGCTAACTTATAGAGTGGAAGCCTGCCCGGGTCTGTGAGGGTCACCCCTCAGGCTCACTCTGTCTCCCAATCAGTGACCTTCCCCGCTGCCCCTTCCTGCTGCCCCACCGACCCCACCCCAAGGTGTCCCCCTTATCGGGACTGCGGAGGCGGAGGCTACGTACCGCACAGGACTGGGGGCGAATCCAGCAAGCAGGGACCGCTCTGCGAAAGCTCCATGGAGGAGCTACTCGGGCCTGGCGTCTCCGGCGTCCCGAACATGCCCTGCCTGGCGCTTCATCTCGATGCTCGGGCGCGGACCGGTCCCGCTGCCTTGTCCAGCCTCGGCAGAGTCCGCGTCCCAGTGCCCGGGTCGCGCTCAGGGTTGGTTCCGCGGGAGCCTAGGCTTGGCACAGTTGGATTCACGGTGCAGGAAACTTAAGAGGCAAGAGAGGGAGGGGAAGTAGAGGGGGAAAGCGAGGAAGAGAGAAAGGGAGGTAGAAAGAGCGGGAGGGTGAGAAGCGAATGCGCCGGGCTACTGCACCGGACAGACCGGGACTGCCCGCGTTGGATGTGGGACGAGCTCGCTGATTCCCGAGGCTGCCGAAGGATGGTAGAAATGACTTAAGGGGAGGAGACTGGGCAAGTCCTCAGGACTTGAACTTGAGATATAAGACACTGGCCTTTCGGAAGAAAACAGCCACACGGCAGGCGCAAGCAGTCCGAGTTTCAGAGGGAGGGGTGGGGTGAGCAGAGCCCCGAGGATCCTGGCGCAGCCAGCAGCTGTACCTCTACCGGCGGCCCTGAGAAGCCCGAGAGCCACTCCGGAGCGGAGTCGCAGGCTCTATCCGTGGTCCTGCCCGGCCACTGGGGGACGCTCTGGAGTGCGCTGGGGTTCTCGGCGCCGGTGCCGTGGTGCTTTCTCCGTAGGTCCACCGCTCGGCTCGCCTACCTTCCTGACTCGGGCAATTACATCGGCACGTGGGCGAACGATTCCTCAGAGACCAATTAATACCCCGTGTAAATGGATCCCGCTCCTAGGCTCTCGGCGGGCTGGGCCCGCAGGGAGAAGTGGCTCCTGCGGTGTCTCTGGTGGCCGCAGTGCACCCTTCCCAAGGGTCGTGAGGAGGACTGCGACCGCCAGAGGAGTGGCGGGGGG